ACTCAGACCCCAGACCCTCCGGGCTCCTCCCCCATCCTCGGCCCTGAAGCCTCCCCCTGCCCCAGGCGTCCACTCGGTCCGCGCCCTCCCCGCACGCACCGGGGCGCATGGAACAGCCAGCCCCTGGGGCGAAGGCCGCTTCCCCACACCGCCCGGCCCTGTCCATCGCGGGTGAGGCCGGCACGTACCTGCCCGCGGCCCGAACCCGCAGCGATGCTCAGCGCGGTGGCCCCCGCGCCGTCCCGGGCGTCCACGTGCGCGCCCGCCGCCAGGAGCAGGCGCAGCGCCTCCGCCCGCCGGGCCGCGGCCGCCACGAGCAGGGCGCCGTCCAGGCCCGCGCCGCGCGAGGCCAGCAGCTCCAGCACCGGCAGCCGCCCGCCCGCAGCCGCCCACTGCGCCGCCGTCCAGCCGCGCGCGTCCGCCGCCTCGGCGCCCGGGCCTGGCGCGCCCAGCAGGAGCCCGGCCAGCAGCGTGCGGCCCCGCGCGGCCGCCTCGTGCAGCGGCGTGAGCCCGGCCCCCGAACGCGCCGCCGCCGGGGCCCCGCGCCGCAGCAGCAGCTCCGCCACCCGCGAGCGCCCGCGCCAGGCGGCCTCGTGCAGCGGCGTGCGCCCCGCAAGGTCGGCGGCCCCCACCTGCGCCCCGCGCTGCAGCAGGAGCCGCACCAGGGGCGCGTGGCCGCGCAGCACCGCCAGATGCAGCGGGGTCCTCCCCGCGCTGTCCCTGTGGGCGTGGGGGCTGCGTGGGCGAGCGTGGGGCGGCCGGGGAGCAAGACCCCGTCCTGCCCAGCCCGGTGGGGGGCCCTGCCCTCCCACCCAGGTCAGCGAAGGGACCCACGAGGGAACCCCCTACATCCTGGCCCGATGCCCGCACCCCTCCCTGCGCTCCAGGGGCTCACCTCTCCTCCACGCTGGCCCCCTGCCGCAGCAGCTGGGTTGCGAGGCCTAAGTGACCCCTCCACGCAGCCTGCAGCAAGCGCCCCCAGGCCTGCGGGACACCGGGCCCCTCTGCCCCTGTTCCCAGGGCCTCCTCTGAGCCCAGCTCTATCCACCTGAGTTCCTGCTCGGCTCCTGCCTCTGGGAGGTCCTGCTGCCCGGGCTCTGAGCGCCCAGGACTCACCTGGGAAGGAAAGGAATCCTGTGTGGACGCTGGAGGCTGAGCCAGTCCCAGCCCACCTGTCCCCAGGCCAGCATGCCCCCCCCCCATCTTCTCCCCGGGGAACCAGGCCACCAGCTAGGCTTGGCTCTCAGTTACCCCCGGAGGGAGCCTGTCCAGGGACTCGGGGGGCCTCTCCATGCGGGTCCTGGCCCAGCCACAGCGTGCTGAGTGGGCCCCTCAAGAAACTCCTCCTGAAGGTGTGAAGGTGGGGTGTGGGCTCCGGAGGGCTGGAGGCTAGAGCTGCAGTTGCTGTGTGTGGGAGGGGGGGGGGGGGGAGCTGCCTCCTGCTGCCTCTGGGCCCAGTGAAGGGCCACTCTCCACACTGTTTATCCAGAAACTTAAGGAGAGGCCCTGCCTGGCGGCCACAGCTCCCTCCCCCCAGCACCCTCCTCCCCTGCCAACTGCCGGGGCCCCCCCCCCCCTCCCAGACAAAGGCCAGGCAAGCAGGAGCACGCCCGTGGACTGAGCTCCTCCAAGGAGCACAGCCTCTGATGTGCCAGGACTTGCCTCCCACCCCCCCGCCCCCCCGCAGGTACCCACATGCCTTCCCCTGGGCCCCTCCCTCAGGCCCTGCCCCTCACCCCCTCCTGTGCTGCTGAACAAGACCACCCACCTCGGGGCTGGAGCTTTGCCTCCTGCCTGATTCCAGGAGGTGGACAGGATGAAGTGGGACCCTTCAAGCCAGGCGACCTGGGTGAAGGCATCTGGGGTAGGAATCGCCTGGAGATGTGGAGGCAGGCAGGTCAGTGGAGGCTGTGATGGCAGACTGCTGGGCAGGAGAGGGAGGGAGCCAGGCTATGGGAGCATTTAAACTATATTTTTATTGTTTTCAGAGAGGAAGGGAGAGAGAGAGAAACATCAATTATGAGAGAGAATCATGGATCGGCTGCCTCCTGCACGCCCCACACTGGGGACTGAGCCCTGAACCTGGGCATGTGCCCTGACCAGAAATCAAACCGTGACCTCCTGGTTCAGAGGTCGACACTCAATCACTGAGCCACATGGGCCGGGCAAGGGAGCATTTTTATGACAGGGGACTAGAAGCATCTGGAACTGGTGCTGCAGGAAGGGGCCTGAGTGAGGCCAGCAGGATGGGTCACTTTGATTCTGGTGCCTAGGGCAGAGTGGGCCCGGTGGGGGCTGGCCCTGCCTTCCCATCCAGGGAAGGCCACCTATGCAGGGTCCTGACGGGAGAAGGAAGTGCTCCAGCTGCTCTGTGACTGTCCACCAGGAGGCAGCACAGCTTTGGGGCTGTTGCTCCTACCCCAGCCCCCACCCTCAGGCTCCCAGGGATGAGGTGTCATGTGGGCCCTGTCCTGCCTCCCCACCCCCAAGAGGAGCAACAGAGTCTTGCCCCTCCCCCACCTCCCTAGAGAGTAGCCCTTGCAGGTACCGGGTCCCCAGGATGGGTCTCCAGCCACATGGTCCCTCCCCCGTGATGCCTAGTCACTCTGCTCAGATGTCACCTCCCCAGAGGGGCCCGCCAGCCTGACCCCGGATCTGACCCTGTTTTATTTTCTTCTGAGCACTTATCACTCCATGAAAGAATCTTTTATTTTAAACTAGAGGCCCGGTGCATGAAATTCGTGCACAGGTAGGGTCCCTAGGCCTGGCCAGTGATCAGGGCTGATCTGTGGGGCAACCGGCGGGGCGATAGGGGGGCCCCTGCTGGCACCTGCCTTGGCTGGCCTGGGGCCTGCGGGCTGCGGGCAGCTCCTGCATTGAGCGCCTGCCCCCTGGTGGTCAGTGTGGGTCATAGCGACCCATCGTTCTGCTGTTTGGTCAATTTGCATATTAGGCTTTTATTATACAGGATACCTGCCTTCCTCTCCCAGGAAAAAAGCCCCATGTGGGCACGTCACCCAGGCTGGCAGGTTCAGGCCCTGATGAAGCTGGCACTCTGGTCTGGGTGGGTTCAGACACTTCACTGCGCGAGTGGCCAGAAAAAGCAAGGGCAGCAAAGGTGTCCTCTGTCTGTGTCCCTGTCCCACAAGGTCACACCGAAAAGAGCCGGCCAGCCCGGCGGGGCTCAGTGGTTGAACGTCGACCTATGAACCAGGAGGTCAGGGTTCAATTCCCAGTCAGGGCACATGCCTGGGTTGCAGGCTCAGTCCCCAGGGGCGTGCAGGAGGCAGCTGATCCATGATTCTCTCTCATCATTGATGTTTCTATCTCCCTCTCCCTTCCTCTCTGAAATCAATTTAAAAAAATGTATTTTAAAAAAAGAACAGGCCAGCCCTGACTGGTTTGGCTCAGTGGATAGAGCGTCGGCCTGCAGACTGAGGGGTCCGGGGTTCGGTTCCGGTCAGGGGCATGTACCTTGGTTGCGGGCATGTACCTTGGTTGCGGGCACGTCCCCAGTGTGTGTGGGGGGGGGATGCGAGAGACAGCTGATCAATGTTTCTCTCTCATCGATATTTCTAATTCTCTATCCCTCTCCCTTCCTCTCTGCAAAAAAAATCAATAAAATGTATTTTTAAAAAAGAAAGAATGAGCCAGATCATGGGCCACACCAGGGGGAGGGAGCGGAGAGAGTGCGCCCTGTTGTTGAGGGTCCATTACTTGCTGCCTGGGGCCCAGCGGGCCGTCCCATACCCGGTCGGAGCCGGGGGAGCCTGGGAGTGCCTCCTGGCAGCCTCCCCACGCTCCGCCACGGCCTCTGTGGGCTCATGCAAGGCCGGCCAGGGCCATTTGCAGCATTTCTAACCCCACAGTCACTGTCTGACGAAATGGGTAGTTACTGTAAGACCCTGAGAGTGTGAGCCGTGCTTGTGCCTGGGGGCAGGGCGTGGCATGAGCTTCTGGGGAGCTGCTGTTGTCCTGACGGGGCCTGTGGCAGGCAGCCTGTGTTCCTCGATGGTGCCCCCACGGTCGGCCACCTCCCCACTCTAAGGCGTCTGAAGGGAGATGGGGAGCCTGGAGGCCTGGCACAGGAAAGCAGAAAAGTTGGCAGGGCAAGGTGGCTGCGGAGGCGGGAAAGGGGGATGTCGGCGCCCGATGCCTGTGGTCTCCGGTTCAGCTCACAGACAGCCTGCTCACTGGCTTAGGTGTCTGCTGGTTATGCGAGGGGACCCTGGGGTTCTGGGAGGCGGTGGGAGTATGTTAGTGATGTTTGGGGACATTCGTTGGGGATTTGGGGGAGGGCAGGGGGTGCTTCTTCTCCACTTGAAATTATGGAATCCAGCCCTAGCCGGTTTGGCTCCTTGGATAGAGCATCGGCCTGCGGACCGACGGGGCCCGGGTTCGATTCTGGTCAAAGGCAGGTGCCTCGGTGTGTGCAGGAGGCAACCAATCAATGTGTTTCTCTCGCAGCGATATTTCTCTCTGTCTTTCCCTCTCTCTTCCACTCTCCCTAAAAGTCGATGGAAAAATATCCTCGGGTCAGGATTTAAAAAAATAAAGAAAGGACGGAATCTGTGGTCCCAGTTTCCTGGAGGGACTGGACTCCGGCAGGAGGACACCTGCCGTGGTGGCTGCTGTCGCTGTGAGCCTCTGTGTTCAAGGTCCCACGCGTCCTCTCACGGGACTAGGGTGCAGGCACCCAGCGTCTTCCATGTTTACTGAGGCTGAGAGGGGCCAGGTTGGGAATGAAGGGACCAGCAGGAACCAGGGCCGGGAAGTGGGGTACCTGGAGACCCCCCCCACCCCCCCACCCCCCCCCCCCGCTCCTGATGGGGCAGTTATCATAGCCAAGACCTATGAAATGACGTCATTGGGGGAGGGGCTGCAGGGGGAGGGCGGGACCAGAAGGGAGGAGGGCCCCAGTGCCACGCCACAGGGTCAGCTGTGCAAGTCCTGAGCAAAGCACAGCACACAGGAGCTGGCCACAGAGGCGGGCCAGGGCCGGAGCTGCAGGCGCCTGGCAGAGAGAGGCCCAGCCTGGCGGTGGGGAAACTGAGGCAGCGGTGCGGCCCTGGAGACGGCTGGTCAGGGCTGGACCTTCCTGGCCCAAGGTTCTGCCTCAGTTGGGTCTCTGGTTGCCGAGGTCTGAGAAGGGGTCGGACCTGAGCACCCAGGGCTGACCCCGGGGTCTCAGTTGCTGTCTGACCACTGCTGGGACCCCACCAGGCCCGCTGCCTGTGAGAGCATGAGTGAGCAGGAGAGGGAGACGGAGGAGGATGAGGGAGGGGGCCCTTCAGACATGGCACCCATGCTGCCCCGAAGGCGCCCGGACCACAGGGCTGGACCACCCACCCTGGGGCTGCCCGGCCGGATGCTGGCTGGGCTCCTGCTCCACCTGCTGCTGCCCGGGACCCTGTTCCTGCTGGTGCTGATGCCGGCAGCCGCCATCATCTACCTGGGATTCCTGTGCCACTCCAGGGTGAGCCGGGCCCTCTGGGGGAGGAGGGGAGGCGCTGGCTGGGCCTCCCGGGGAGTGGGGTCCTGTGGAAGCTCAGGGCACTGGGCCTGAGGGTGAATCGTCCCCCTTGTCGCCAGAGACATGTGTGCCCCTCCCCGGAGAGCCCTTCTCCTGCCAGCCCCTCCCCCACTGGCCACAGCAGAAGGGCCTTTGTTCCCACTATGGGGACAGCTCTCTCCCTCCCCTGAGGCCCCCAGCCTTGTACCAGGGGCCACCAGGGCCTGAGCAGCTGGGCAGGGTGGGAGGAGGAGAGGGCTCCAGGAAGAGAAGATGATGTCTGATTTCACCAGTCCACAGCCCCTCCCCCGCCACACCCACACAGCCCCTGGCAGAACCCTCCTGCCCTGGGCTGGGTTCCCCATGTGCAGTGGGCTGTGGCTTGGTCCAGGGCAGGGAGGGTGTAGGCAGATGGGCCCCTGTGCCCCCTTTCTATAGGCCTAAGGCAAGGAAGGGCGACCGGACGGGGGTCGCTAAAGAGAAGGTGGCACCAGCTGTGACACCCACAGGCTGGGGCTCCTGGTCAGGTGCCAGCAGAGAGAAGGGTCATGGGGAGCAGTGGGCTGGGGAAGCGGGGGTCGGGCAACAGCGGGAGGGGGGGGGATTCTTTGAGTCTCCGCCCAAGAGATCGCTACTCGGGCCGTTTACTGCGTGGACTCCGGTGAATGGGTTCCTGATCTCTGTTCCTTGACGGAGAAATGACAGGCCCTCAGCAGGGACTCCACTAGGCCTCAGGCCCCGCCCCTCGCCCCGCCCCGCCCCTGGCAGTATGCTCCCCAGGCCCCGCCCCGTCCCGTCCCGTCCCCCTGCTGCCTGGCCCCGCCCAGTCAACCCAGGACCCGCCCACCCACCCAGACCAACCCCTCCCCCTGCTGCCTGGCCCCGCCCCGCCCCATCCTGGCCCCGCCCCGCCCCGTCCACCTGCGGTCTGGCCCCGCCCACCCAGACCAGCCCCGCCCCCTGCTGCCTGGCCCCGCCCCGCCCCATCCTGGCCCCGCCCCGTCCCGTCCACCTGCTGCCTGGCCCCGCCCAGTCAACCCAGGACCCGCCCACCCACCCAGACCAACCCTTCCCCCTGCTGCCTGGCCCCGCCCCGCCCCATCCTGGCCCCGCCCCGTCCCGTCCACCTGCGGCCTGGCCCCGCCCCGCCCCTTCCTGGCCCCGCCCCGTCCCATCCACCTGCGGCCAGGCCCCGCCCCGCCCCATCCTGGCCCCGCCCCGTCCCGTCCACCTGCGGCCTGGCCCCGCCCCGCCCCATCCTGGCCCCGCCCCGCCCCGTCCACCTGCGGTCTGGCCCCGCCCCCCCAGACCAGCCCCGCCCCCTGCTGCCTGGCCCCGCCCCGCCCCATCCTGGCCCCGCCCCGTCCCGTCCACCTGCGGCCTGGCCCCGCCCAGTCAACCCAGGGCCCGCCCACCCACCCAGACCCGCCCCTCCCCTTGCTGCCTGGCCCCGCCCTCCCCGCCCCATACAGGCCCCGCCCCCACCCCTGATGCTTGGCCCCGCCCAGCCCCTCCAGGCCCCGCCCCTCCTGAGCTCCCGCCCCGCCCCCAGGTCCACCCGGCGCCCAGCCCCACGTGCCGCGCGCTGCTCACGGACCGCGGCTCTGCGACGCTCATCGTGCTGGGCTTCCTCTCGCTGCCTCTGCTGCTGGTGTTCGCCTCGGCCGCCCGCGCCCGCTTGGCCCGGCGCCTCCGCCCGCTGCTGCCGTCCCCCATTTGGACCCGCGGACCTGGTCGCCATCCAGGCTCCAGCGACGGGGAACGGGAGGAACGCCACCCTGATGGAGAGGAGCAGCTCTGCGCCTGGGTGTGACCCCAGCGGCCCTCCAAAGGACCCGAGACCTCCAAATCCCGGGAGGCCCCCGAACCTCCACATCCTTCGTGACCCCCATAAGTTGGCCCCAGGCCTGCGAGCGCGTGGTCTGCGCCCAGATCCGGCTGGGAAATCGCGGGCATTGCATGCCTCGGGCTCCGGCGCGGTGCTCCGAGCGGCCGCGAGATGGCACTCGACTCCCCGGGACTGGGGTCAGCCCTCCCCACCCACCGCCGCCGGCACCCTCGCTGGCAGCCCTGCCGCACAGGCTGTGCCCCCTCGAGGAGGCGGGGTGGCTCTCAGAGAGGGGCGCGTGGCCGGGCTCGAGAAAGGCGGCCTCCTGGCTTCTGCCACTGGCTGCCCTGGCCGGGCCCTGTGGCCCCGTGACTGGTCAGCCAGGGCCTCCCGCCAGTTTCAGAGGAGGTGAGACCCCCACGGTCCACCAGAGCGCGTGCTTCCAGGAGTCAGCGATGGCCAAGCCCTGCCAGGGCCTGCAAGGCCCAGCCTGTGCCCAGGTTAGAGCTCAAACTGAGACCACGGTCCGGCTCAGCCTGAGACCAGGGTTAGAGCTCGGCCAGTGCCCAGGGTTAGCATCTTCTATTACTATTATTTTACACTTTGTCCTTTATTTGGAATGGTTCCTTTAATATATGACCCTGACCCTTGGCCATGGCCCTTGATACAAACTAGGGTACACATTTTTTTTTTTTGAAAAACAAATATGACAAGTGAGACAGCCCTTATGATTCGTCAGAGCAGGCTCACTGAAGTGGTAGTTTTCTGGCAATAAATGTGTCCTTGAAGTTCTTTCCCTTTGATTCCTAGAACCACCTTCATTTCCTCCTTTCCTGAAACTCTTTTGTTCAGTTCCTCCTGGAACGCCTGGAGGAGCAGCAGCACTCTGCCCACGACTCCGGGGTGGGCGTTCAGATGGGCACCCAGTAAGGGCGCAGCCTGTTCTCCCTGGGTGACGTTAAGGTCCTCAGGGTCTGCTGCATTCTGCCCTGTGCTTTGAGCTTGTTCCTAGTTGCGGCTCTGTTTTTGATGACCTATCCGGCGTCACGGTGTTTCCCGTGCCTGGGGATCAGATAGTTCCTCGTTCTGGAGAATCCTCAGCCGGTATCCCGAGAGCTCTGCCTGTCACTCACTGTACATGTTCTCTCCTTTGACCTCGATGTCAGTTCATCTCTCTTGTATTTTTTTTCAAATATATTTTTATTATTGATTTCAGAGAGGAAGGGAGAGGGAGAGAGAGATAGAAACATCAATGATGAGAGTCACCAATCGGCTGCCTCCTGCACGACCCCCCACTGGGGATCCAGCCCACAACCCGGGCATGTGTCCTTAACCGGAATCGAACCTGGGACCCTTCAGTTCGCAGGCTGATGCTCTATCCACTGAGCCACACCAGTTAGGGCTCTCTTGTACTTTTAAAAAATATTTTTTTTATTGATTTCAGAGAGGAAGGGAGAGGGAGAGATAGAAACAGAAACATCGCCGAAACCGGTTTGGCTCAGTGGATAGAGCGTCGGCCTGCGGACTGAAGGGTCCCAGGTTCGATTCCGGTCAGGGGCATGTACCTGGGTTGCGGGTACATCCCCAGTAGGAGATGTGCAGGAGGCAGCTGATCGGTGTTTCTCTCTCATCGATGTTTCTAACTTTCTATCTCTCTCCCTTCCTCTCTGTGAAAAATCAATAAAATATATTTAAAAAAAAAAAAAAAAGAAACATCAATGATGAGAGAGAATCATGGATCGGCTGCCTCCTGCACGCCCCACACTGGGGATGGAGCCCGCAACCCAGGCGTGTGCCCTGACCGGGGAATCAAACCGTGACCTCCTGGTTCACGGGTTGACGCTCAGCTCCTGAGCCACACCGGCCGGGCTCTCTTGTATTTTCCATCTCCGTGTCTCTCTGTTGCCTCTGGGCAATTCCTCCAGCGCCCTCTTCCCGCTCAGACTCACTGGCTGTGTCTAATCTGCCGATACACTCATCCGTTTAATTCTAAATGACTATTCCTAAAAGTTGCGCTTGCTTCCTTTTGAAGTCTGATCGCTTTTGATGGTCCCTTGGTGGCATGCTTGCTCAACTTCTGGGTTCCAGCTTCGGTCTGTTAGACAGCTGGCAGCCACGTTACAGCCTGTACCTAGCCATGCCGTGTGCTGGTCTTCGGGCTCTACCTTTGTTATGTGTTGTTTCTGCTGCCGCTTCCCTCCAGGGAGGACTCCCTCTGGGCGGCAGGGCCAGCTGGGCCGGTCAGGGTCCCGGTTGGTGGCCCCTGTGCAGTGCCACCCCGGCTCTCCAGCTTCAGGGTGGCTCTCCCGCCCTGTGTCCAGAGAACACGCTGCTTCCCCACTTGTTTTCCTGCATCGTCCTGGGTCTGCTCCCTTTTCTCCTGTTTATCCACTTGCAGTGTTTAATTCTGGAGGGACCTCGGGGATATTTACTTCCTTGTAAGCCCAGCAGTGTATTAAAAATGTGCACTTGTTGTCATCCGTCCAGGGTCTGGTGGTAGCCGAAAGGCCTTTTAAAGGATGGAGCGCACCACACTGCCAGCTGGACTCCGCCTGTGACCAGCAGGGTCAGGCCCCAGAGACCGGGGCTCGCGGTTCAGGCTGTGACCAGAGTCAGGGCTCATTCCGTGGCCTTGAGCGGAGCCCGCTGAGGCTGGCCCGGGTCCAGCAGGAGTCCTCGGGGGGGTTCCAATTGTCTGTGCGCAGCTCTGATGCGGTTCCCAGTCAGACAGGAGCCTGGCCGGCCGCCCGGCTGCCAGAACTTCCCCTGGTCCAAGGCCGCCTTCCTTCCCCTCCTGCCCGGGCTGGGCTGGCGCTGGCCAGGCGGCCAGGAGGAAGACTCTCCTGAGGATAGGCCTGGCCCTGGAGTCACCAAACAACAGCTGGGCCTGGGGGGTGGGGAGCTCAGCTGCCTGAGCCTGGGCTTCCTAAGATGGGTCTCAGTGTCCCAGGCCAGCCCTGAGCCCCAGGGAAGTCTTGCCTCAGCCCCCGTTCTGCCCCACCCGCTCACAAAAGACACCCGTGAGGGGCTGTGAGCGTTCACACGGTCTCGGGCTCTGCTTTTTAAAAAATATATATATTTCTTTGCTTTTTTAGAGAGAGTGGAAGGGAGGGGATAGAGAGATAGAAACACGGTAAGAGAGAAATATCATTGATCGGCTGCCTCCTGCACGCCCCCCACAGGGGATCGAGTCCACAGCCTGGGCATGTGCCCTGACTGGGAATCCATCCGGGGCCTCTTGGCTCCTGGCTCGATGCTCAACCACTGAGCCACGCCGGCCGGGATAGGGGTCTGCTTTTAGAGGGCCAGCTGTCAGGGACATTGGGCACTGGGTGCTGGGGGCCGAGGGCTGGCCCACCAGAGGGAACCAGAAACAGGCCCCGGGCCTGGGGAAGGCTGAGGAGACCATGGTCTCTTCTTTATCCGCCACCATTTAGGTTCCTGGTAAGGGGCTGGGGGGGGGGAGCGGGGGGGGGAGGAGGGGGGCTGGGCTAAGGGGAGGGAAGGTCCTGCCTCCAGCACAAGGCTCCCCCTCCTCAAGGCCCGTCATTCAAACAACCTGTCCTGCCCTTCAATCCCTCTGCCCAGGCAGGACCAACCCCATCTGAATCCCAGAGAGCTCTGCCTCTAACCCAGGGGTGGGCAAACTTTTTGACTCGAGGGCCACACTGGGTTCTTAAACTGGACCGGAGGGCCGGAACAAAAGCATGGATGGAGTGTTTGTGTGAACTAATAGAAATTCAAAGTAAACATCATTACATAAAAGGGTATGGTCTTTTTTTTTTTTAGTTTTATTCATTTCAAGCGGGCCGTAGTTTGCCCACGGCTGCTCTAACCCTTTGCCCAGCACGGTGCCCATGACAGAAGCCTCTCTTTCAGGGTCTCAGCCCCCCAGGCCGAGCCCCCAGCCTCTGCTCCCCTCCTCCCCCCATGAAAACTACTTCAGCCCAGCCGGTGTGGCTGAGTGGTTGAGTGTTGACTTATGAAGCAGGAGGTCACAGCTCGATGCCTGGTCAGGGCACCTGCCCAGGTTGTGGGCTTGGTGCGGAGGGGGGGCCTTGCAGAAAGCAGCCGAACGATGATTCTCTCTTATTGTCGATGTTTCTCTCTTCCTCTCCCTTCCTCTTTGAAATAAATAAAAACACACTTAAAAACAAAAAACAAAAACCCTTCATCCCCACCCAATGCCCCTCAACCCATCCAGGGGCCCAAACTCCACGGGAAGCAAGTGCTCTGCTCCTGGATGGGGCAGGGAGGAGGCCCCTCTGGGACAAGCAAGCTCTTTCCCCACCCAGGTGCCCCTGCCCTGGCTGTGGACGCCTCCACACACCTGTGTGTGTGCGTGTGCACGCATCTGTGCATTGTGTGTGAGTGTGTGTGTGTGTGTGTGTGTGTGTGCATGTTCTGGCTTGTGCCCATGCAAATCTATCCCATCCGCCTCCCCTCACACCCTGAGCTGGGAGATGGGAGCTATTGTCTCGACCCCACAGGGTGGAGACTGTGCAAGATTCCCTGACCTGCCCAAGGTCATGTATTCATGCACAAAGCATTTCCGGGGACCGAGGCGTTGGCAGGCACACCCTCAGACAGCTGAGGCGCGGCCAGGAGGGGTCTGGGACGGGCCAGTTCTGTCCTTCCAGCTTGCATCCAGGTATGAGCCCTACCCTCACCCAGGCATGTGGGCCAGGCAAGGGGTGCTGTGCAGGAAGTGAGCTGGGGTGGGTGGGCTGGGTAGAGTGGGGAGGGACACACTGCCTTCTGCCCGCATGGTGCCTCTGGCTGCTCTAATAATGAAATAGACATGAGACACAGGAGCAATAGAAAATACCCAGATTCGAGACACGCGTGTGCATGAGAAGCCTGCATACGTGCGAGTCAGACCCCACATGCACGAGAGGATCAGAGGCAGAAACGAACGTGGGCATATAAGGCATGCTGAGCCGGCTGGCTTGGCTCAGCGGTTGAGCGTCGACCTCTGAACCAGGAGGTCAGGGCACATGCCCAGGTTGTGGGCTTGGTCCCCAGTGTGGGGCGTGCAGGAAGCAGCAGATCCATAAATCTCTCTCATCGTGGATGTCGCTATCTCACTCTCCCTCTCCCTTCCTCTCTGAATTCAATAAAAACATATTAAAAACACACACGCTTCCTGAGTTAGGGACAAGATAGTGCTGGGCGTCAGGGCCTGGCAGGATGAGAAGAGCGGGTGCTGGGTCAACAGAGACTTGCTCTGCCTACAGATGGGCAGAGGCTACGCTGACCACAGCTCACTCTGGGCGAGGCCCCGGCTCAGTTCCCCGGGCAGTGAAGGGAGGGGCCCAGGTTCCCCTTGAGCCTGAGGCTGCAGGTGCCTTTAGCTCAACACAGTCTGTGTGCCTCGGAGGCGCATCGTGGGGTGCATTGGTCGGGACCCCCTCAGTAGTCACAGGCAGAGTCTGGCGCTGGCTCTGAGGTCTAAGGCCCTGCCCGCTGGGCCCCACTCCCACCTCTGGGGAGTCCCTCCCTGCTCTCTCCTTCCCCAGGCAAGCCTGTCTGGACCCTGCCTGGGGCAGGGGCAGGGGCAGGGGCAGGGGCAGGGTGTGGGGGTCACCTCCCTGTAATAGAAGGTTCCAGCAGAGGGAACCAAAGCGGGGGTGCGGGGGGTGGGGCACCCTGCACAGGCTGAAAACCCAGGAGCCTCTGGATGCCTGCCTTCCTCTCTGCGCTCACCCTTGCCCAGTAGGCCCTACCTCTGGCAGCGGCTCACCAGGCATCTCCTTGGAGGCCTCCCACCAGCCCCACCCTCCCCTGGGCCCTGGCCTGCCCCGTGAAGGCCCTGCACCCCTTGCCCTCCATTTCTGCCCCCCAGCCCTCCTTCCTGCTCTCACACACCTGCCTGCCCCAACCCCAGGGCCTTAGCACTTCCCGTAGCTCCGGCCTCCGGGTCTGACACGGCCGCCCCCCCCAGCGGGAATTTTTGCAGGCACGCCACTGCTTGTCCCCCTTCCAACCCGGAGGTGCTGGGAGGACAGGGACGGTGCCCAGTCCTTGCGTGTCCCTGTTTGTAGGCGGCGGGAACGGCGCCAGGAGTTAGGCCTGTGGAGTCAGGCCGGACCTGGTACTTGAGTTCTGGCTCCGAAAGACTTCAGAACCAAGACTCAAACTGTGAGAGAACATTTATTTGGGAAATCAAAGAGGTAAAAGAAGTAATTTTTAGAAAAAATGGGCTTAGGAAACAACTTACAGAGGTAAAGGAGTCGTGAGGAGGGGAAAGGTAATGTGCCTGAGGGAAGGGGAGAGAAAGGGAAAGGCAGGGGTGGGGTCCTCTGTCCTAAGGACTTGGGGGTGGGGGACGTTAGGGGAGGCCCTGGGGAAGATCTCAGCAGAACACTCAGCAGCCTTCCAGGGGTGGCCTTTCGGGTCCGGTCTCCACGGAGTGCCGGGCGGGCCCCAGGGCCGGGGTCATCACCAGCGTGACGGGTCCTGGGCTTGGCCTTGGGCTTGCTTGTCTGATGTTGCTGCTTTTCTGGGCCTGGAGCTGAAATGCAACTGAGGCCTCTTGGGTGCAAAGGTCAGGGGGTCCAACGGCAGGACACAAGGCCAGTGTGTGCTGGGGGGGCGGGGGGGAGAGGTCACTTGGGGGCGAGGATGTGCACACCTGTCCGTGACTGTCTGCCCCGGTGGCCTCTGAACCTGGCCCCACGTCCTCCCTCCGCTCCTGTCTGCAACTGCCGACCACATCCCCATGCAGAACCTGCCCGTGGCCTGGCTCAGCACCGAGGATGGGTGAACGCAGATGGGGGTGCCCACCCCATGCTCTGGCTGCCCACCCCGCCAGGCAGGGGGACGGAGTTGGGGTCAGTCTAGAGCAGTGATGGCGAACCTTCTGAGCTCGGCGTGTCAGCATTTTGAAAAACCCTAACTTCACTCTGGCGCCGTGTCACATGTAGAAATTTTTTTATATTTGCAACCATAGTAAAACAAAGACTTATATTTTTGGTATTTACTTTATATATTTAAATGCCATTTAACAAAGAAAAATCAACCAAAAAAAATGAGTTCTCGTGTCACCTCTGACACACGTGTCATAGGTTCGCCATCACTGATCTAGGGCCACAGGGAGCAAGGCTGGGCTCCTGGGGAGTGAGAGGCTGGGACCTGCAGACCACGGGGAGGTCCTCAGGCCCTGGCCTGTCCCAGACCACGGACAGGCAGGTGGAGTCTAGAAGAATGTGTGGGTGGGGCAGCTGGGTGGGCTTGGGAGGGGCCTCTGGGCCCTGCTGCTCTCAGCGGCTGCTCCCTGGGCCCCACGGTCCCACTCACTGGTGTGGGGTGAGGTCAGGGGGCCTTGGCTGGCCCCACACCCCAGATCCAGGCCCAGGGCAGCCACCCCCCCTTTGCTGTCTCTATCCCCACCTCGTATGTGTGGGTAGATACAGCAACCGTGATAAACAGCTCAAGGGGGGCACCCCTACAGGGTGGGGCAGCGCCCAGGCCCATCTGCCCAGCAGAGCGCCCTAGGCTGGGGTCAGGGGTGAGGTCAGAGGCCCCGGGAGCTGCCCTTTTCCTTGGGGTCAACATGACCACAGCGCGCTGGGCACAAAAGGCCCTTCTTCTCCCCAGAGGCCTGGACTGTGCGGAGGAGGGAGGCTGTCCGACCGACTGGGAGGGGGCAGGGCGGGCGGCGCCGGCAGAGCAGTGGCCCTGGGTTCCCGGAACCCTGTCCACCTGCCTGTGGGCAGACGGGGTGGGCCAGCTCTGGGAAGTGATGCATGGAGCTCCCGGCTGGGCCAAGGCCATGACATCAGGACTGAGCAGGGCTGGGCTCCAGGCAGGGGAGGCCTGGGGGCCAGGGCCTGCTGGTCTCAGAGCCTCTGATTTCTCTGCCCCTCCGGCCCCAGGCCGCCCGCCTCAGAGAGGAGCCTTCCGGGCCATTCTATTTGTGCTTCCTCCGGCGTCTGCCCTAACCCTGACCACCGACACCCCTGGCTGACCCCTCGCTCCCTGGAGACTCTGTCTGGCCCTGTCTCCCCAGGGCAGGGGTGGGGGCTGCAGGACACAGAAGTGAGACTCGGGGCCAGGGAGCAGGGCCGAGGGGGAGGCAGGGGAGTCTCGGGGCTCAGGCGAGAACTCGACGTGAGCAGACTTGACCCCGGCCAAGCTGAGGAGGAGGTCTGGGCGGGGGCTGGGTAGCGGCCCTGGCGGAGGGCACCTGAGGCAGAGGCTGGAGGAAGGAGGGCAGCTGCTTCCTTGAGGGCTTGAGCCACAGCCAAGAAGACCCGCTCAGATTTTCCAGGAGGGACGGAAACTTCCCCGTCAGCCCTCAGGGCAGGCCTGGCTGCGAGGGCAGGTCCACCCGCTGGCAGGAGTGGGGGACCAGTGGGGAAGCCACTGCCTTGCCACAGGGGGCCCCCATTACAGCCCAGCTCCCTGACCCCAGCAGGTGGGTGCCCAGGGAAATGGAGGATGAACCAAGAAGGGCCTGTATGTGTCTGCATGGGGTGCCACCCCCGGGGCCCCAGGCCTCAGGCCTCCAGCTGTGGCTGCCGCCTGGCCCTGGTCTCCACTCCCGGTCCCATCTCCACAGCCACCTGGTGAGCCTCCCGTGCCGGAGAGCTGGGGGCCAAGCCGGGCTCCTCCGGGCAGCAGCACAGCCTGGACTTCGGGGACCCCAGCCCCCAGCTCCCCTCCTGGGGCCCAGGCGGAAGCACCCGGCAGCCTCCGGTCCCCGCCGAGGCCTGAGGTCCGTGGAGCTGAGCCAGCACGGCCACTGCCAAGATTCCCCGGGAGGGGTGGGTGGGGGCGGCGGGGACACAGCTCTCTTTCTGCTCCTGCCCTGGCTGCTCCTCTGGCTCAGGCTCGGCCGAAGCGCTTCCTTTTTTAGGCAAAGTGGTGCTCGGCCTGTCTGCCGCCTTCTCACCTGCCAGAGGGAGGAAGGAAACCATTGAGTCCCATCCGTCTTCCTCACAGAGCAGCCCTGGGAGGTGGGGAGGGAGGGGACATCCTGGAAGAGTTGCCCTGGGGGACCTGTGCCCCTGCCCCACGGGGAGGAGCGGCTGGGAGAGGGAACCCTCACAGGAAGGCGTCTGAGGAGTGAGGGGTCAGGGCTCTCCCGCCCAGGGGGCACTGCCTCACCCCAGCTAAGGAGAGGGGGCAACAGGGGGGTGCTGGGGGTCTGTCCTTGGGCGTGGAGTCTGACCTCAGCCCAGGCCCTAGGCCCCCCATCGGGCAGGGTGCGTGGGGACAGCAATAGGCCGCATGGTCACCCTGGACAGGGCCTGAACAGCCACCCCCAGCTCCCAGACCTCTTCCTCCAAGAAGCCAGGGGGGTGGGGCTTTTGTGTCCCCCAAGAAGCCCACGTGCTATGTCCAATGGCCTGTGTCCTTTGTAAGTTCAGCGCTTGCAATCCCTGTGGGTCGGTCCTTGGAGACACGTGTCCCAGCCCCCAGACACCTCCCCCTGCCCCAGCCCTGTAACCCAGTGGGGGCCAGGGCGGGGGGGGGGGGGGGGGGGAGGCGGGGACCTTGTTGGGGCACGTTGTTCTTGGTGTCACTCCCACCCCCACCGCCCTGGGTCCTCTTGGGCCCGGCTCCAGGGACTCCCAGCACCGCGGAGACCTGGGCAGTGGGCCTGGGATGACCCAACTTGGGGGCCCCCTGTCTGCTCCTGGCTGGGAGCAGGGGGCAGGGCGGACCCCCTGGTCTCCGGCCAGCCGTAAAGGAAGGCCGCGGTGTCTGTGCGCGAACATGCCCACGAGTGCGCGGCCCGGTCCCTCGGTGCGCGCGCCTCCCCCGCCGAGTGCGCGCATCGGGGCGGGGCCTTTGGGGGCGGGTCCCGGTCCGGCCAGTGCGGGGACGCGCGGTGCCGCCCAGGAGCGAGCCAGCGAGGGGCTGGCGGAGTCCGAGCGCCCGGTCCGCTGCGCGGGATGCTGCCCTGGACGGCGCTCAGCCTGGCCCTGAGCCTGGCGCTGGCGTGGGCGCGGAGCGGCGCGGAACGCGGTGAGTGCGGGGCGCGGGGCCGGACTCGGGCGCCCCCTCCATCCCCCCCGGCCCCACGCGGCCCGCGCTCTCCTCCCGCGGCCGTGGGGCGGGGGCGGCCGGCAGGGCACCCCACCCACCTGCGGCGGACGGACCCAGACGCCCCAGGAGACTCGACCGAGCGCGGGGACGTGGAGGCCGCCATCTGCCCGGTCGGCATCTCCACGGGATCGAGGGGCCTGGATGAGAGGGGGAGGTGTCTGTCCAGGAGGCTGCCCCGGCCTCAGTTTCCCTCTCCTTGGAATGACCCTTCGTAGAGAGATGACAAGCAGGTTGGAGTCGCCCCACCGAATTAGGGAAACCTGAGGCCCCAGGGCCCAAACCAGAACCAAGACACCCCAGTCCCCGTCTGCCCATGGCCCAAGGGTGGAGGGGCCCATGTGTCCCCCGCTCCAGGGGTGAGGGGAGGAAGGGGCGGCCGGGAGGCGCTGGTGGGACCTCAGGCTGCTGCAGCAGGTAACTCGCTTCCGGGGTCCAGATGGAGCAGGGGCTGGGGGCCCGGGGAGGGGTGACATCATCTGTAAGTGGGGTTAGAACTGCAGCCCGGCCATCTGGGCTGTGGGCGGGCCTGCGATCAGTGCTGTCTCCCCATCTCTCCCCTCCTCCCCAGCCTTCCTCTTCTGAGCTGCTTTGCAACCCCCCTCCTGCCCCCGCCATGTCCCACCTGCTGCCTTACCTGGAGGCTGACCTGTGAGGCTGAAGACAAGCCTGAGGGAGCAGCCCCTGACCACCCTGCCCGTCCACTCGCCCCTCCTGAGCTGGGCCAGGACCCATGGCTCCTGCCTGTTTGCAGTTAGCCGTGGGGGCTTGGAGGGGCCGGCTTTGCTTTACAGATGAGATAGGAGCCCAGAGAGTGTCCCAGGGACATGGCCAGGGTGCAGAGCGGGACCCCTGAGACTTGGACCCCTCTGCCCCTGGGGATGCCACCCCAGGACCTTGGCGGGGGGGGGGGGGGGCTGAGCAGGCTTTCAGGCCTCCTGGGGTGAAGCTCCGGCTGGGGGAGCTGCCGTGGGTGTGGGGCTGCCTGGAGTCCCCACCCGGGCTGAACCCTCCCCCTCTCCCCTAGGGCCCCGGGCAGCAGCCCCCCAGGGGGACCTGCTCTTTCTGCTGGACAGCTCAGCCAGCGTGACTCATTATGAGTTCTCCCGGGTCCGGGAGTTCCTGGGGCAGCTGGCAGCCCCACTGCCCCTGGGCCCCGGGGCTGTTCGTGCCAGCCTGGTGCACGTCAGCAGCCGGCCCCACTCGGAGTTCCCCTTCGGCCAGCACAGCTCCGGGGCCGCCGTCCAGGACGCCATCCTCGCCGCTGCCCAGCTCATGGGCAACACCAACACGGGCCTGGCGCTGGCGTACGCCAAGGAGCAGCTGTTTGCCGAGGCTGCGGGGGCCCGGCCGGGGGTCCCCAAGGTGCTGGTGTGGGTGACCGACGGCGGCTCCAGCGACCCCGTGGGGCCCCCCATGCAGGAGCTGAAGGACCTGGGCGTCACCGTCTTCATCGTCAGCACCGGCCGGGGCAACCGCCTGGAGCTGTCGGCCGCTGCCTCGGCCCCTGCGGAGAAGCACCTGCACTTCGTCGACGTGGACGACCTGCCCATCATCGCCCGGGAGCTGAGGGGCTCCATCCTCGGTAGGTGGGCGGGCAGGGGCGGGCTGGGGGTGGCCAGAGCCCAGCCAGAGAGCTGGGGTGGGATTTTAAAATATGTACATTTTTTTATTGATTTCAGAGAGGAAGGGAGAGAGAGGGAGAGAGAAACATCAATGTTGAGAGAGAATCATTGATCCATGGATCGGCTGCCTCCTGCATGCTCCCCACTGGGGACTGAGCCTACCACCCGGGCATGTGTCCTGACCAGGAATCAAACCGTGACCTCCTGGTTCCTAGGTCGGCAACCAACCACTGAGCCGTGGAGGGATGAGGGCAGGCCTGTGTGAACATCTCCACGTGGGGCTCTCTGAGGGGCCCAGCCCCTTGGAGGAGGCCCCGGGGAGTGGGGGGCCCGGTGTGGACCCAGGGGCTGCGCTGGTGGGGTGTGGCTGAGTGAAGAGGAAGAGAAAGGGGCTGCCAAGCCTGAGGGCTGTGCGGGGGGCCGCAGGTACTCCTGTACCTGAGCCAGGGCCCACCATGTCTGGAGCTGGGAGTCAAGTCAGGAGGGGCCGGGACCGCCTCCTTTGGGCTCTGCTTGACCCCAGTGCCCCCAGGGTGAGGACAGCTGGAGGGTTTTCAGCAGGTTCCTTAGCAGGTTAGCAGCTCCTTCTGGACCCCTGATCCCGCCAAACCGCAGAGGGGGTGGGGCTGGAAATGAAGGGCCTGGTCGCTGGCTCGGCCTCCGTAGCCACTGAAAAATGCCACTAACCCCAGGGTTCTGCCCAAGTCTCCGCCTGTGGGTTAATCATCCACCCGAAACCAGAAGAGGTTGGCCTGTGGGTTGCAGGGGGACTGGGTGCCTCTGAGACTTTCCTTCCGGGGACACCTGGCCCCTGGTTGCCCCAGGTCAACCACTCCACTGGCTGAGCCTGGAGGCTGCAGGGCAGCCAGGAGTGTGGGGTGGGGGGCTCCTGGGAAGGGAGTGGGTCTCTGTGTGGGGGATGGCGGGGGGGTGAGTGCCAGGCTGGCAGTAAGGCCCCAGCATCAGAGGAGGAAGCCACAGGATCAGGATCGTGACAGGCTGAACCCTGCCCAGACACGAATCCCCGCACCCGCCAGCTCCGGCCCAGATGGCTCAGGAGGAACGCTCCGTCCTCCGTCAGGGATCCCACTCTGGGGTGACATTCCTCTGGGGGCCTGAGGCAGGCAGCCTGCCCCCCTGTCCGGCTGCTCTTGTCACATCCTCAGCACCCCTCGGGGCGTCCCCTGGTGGCCCCCCATCTCCTGGCTGCACCATGGGCCCCTTTGCCTTGACTACCCAGAACTAAACTGACCCCAGGCCCTGGGTCTCTCTGGCTGGGGGGAGGGGCGGGACAGGGAGGGGAGCTCTCTGTTCTCAGACACCACCTGGGGCCCTGTCACCTTTCAGGGGCCCTTGTCCAGGCCTAGATAGCGTCCCAGCGGGCTGGGGCCGGGGCCGGGGCTGGGGCCGGTGGGATGAGGCAGGGAAGCTCCTGATGGGGCCAGAAGTGGGGGGCTGCATTCCTGTCTCCCCCCAGCCCTGTCCCGGGTTTGCATATTCTTCGCATCTGCTGGGCGTGGTGAGCCTGGCCTGGCTCCCCAGCATTCCTGTTCCTCGCGTCTCCCTGGTGGGGGCCCCCACCCCAGGCCTCTGTCTCCTGGTTCCCGGAGTGGGCAGTTCGGCCCGCGCCTGGGGGAGGGAGCAGGTGGCCTGGCGTCCCTGACCCCCCGCCCGCCCGCCCGCCCCCACCCCCTCCCCGCAGACGCCATGCAGCCGCGGCAGCAGCTCCGCGCCTCTGAGGTCACATCCAGCGGCTTCCGCCTGGCCTGGCCGCCCCTGCTGACCGCCGACTCGGGCTATTACGTGTTGGAACTGGCACCCAGCGCGGAGCCGGCCGCCGCGCGACGCCAGCAGCTGCCGGGCAACGCCACCGGCTGGACCTGGGCCGGCCTGGACCCGGACACGGACTACCACGTGGCGCTGCTGCCCGAGTCCAACCTGCACCCCGTGGGGCCGCAGCACCTGCGCGTGCGCACGCTGCCGGGTGAGGCGGGGGCGCGCGGCCCGGGGCGGGGGCGCGGGGCGCGGGGTCGGAGCGGGCGGCAGGGGCCGGGGGCGCGGCCCCCCACTGACGCGCGCTTCCCCCGCAGAGGAGGCCGGGCCGGAGCGCATCGTCATCTCGCACGTGCGGCCGAGCAGCCTGCGCGTGAGCTGGGCCCCGGCCGGCGCGCTCCGCTACCACGTGCAGGTCGGGCCGCTGCGGGGCGGCGCGGCGCAGCGCGTGGAGGTGCCCGCGGGCCGCAACGGCACCGCCCTGCAGGGCCTGGCGCCGGGCACCGCCTACCTGGTCACCGTGACGGCGGCCTTCCGCTCGGGCCGCGAGCGGGCGCTGTCCGCCAAGGCCTGCACCCCCGACAGCGAGCGCAGCCGTGCCCCGCGCCCCCCGCCGCCGCCGGGGCCCGGGGGCCGGGGGCCGTGACCGGGACGCCCGCGCAGCCCAGGGCCCCTTCTCCCGACCCCGGTGCGGGAGGCGCCCACCGCCGGACCCAGGGTCTCGTTCCGGGGGCTTGGGGGTGCAGACTCGGCCTTTGCGCGCGGCGATCCCGCGTGACCGACCCCCAGTCCTCGTTCCGCGGCCGGAGCCCGACTCCAGGGCCAGACCCTCGGCTGCAGCGACCCTTCCCTGCCCGCCCGGCGCGGGGCCCTCGGTCGTGTCCTTGGGGCTGGAGTCAGCGGGGAGATGGAGGGGGAGTCTGGGCGCGGGGTGAGACCATCAGACCCGGGACAGGCCCGGCCCAGGACCAAGGGCGGTGGGCCGGGTGGGCCTCCCACTGTGAGAAGGGCCAGTGGTCCAGCTGGCCACTCAGGTCCGGGATGTGGCTAGAAGGTGGAGGGGGGGCGGGGTCCGGCCAGGTCCCCACAAGCTTCCAGGAGGAGACAGGACCCGCCAAGGGCGGGGAAGAGTGTTTGGAGGTGCGGTCAGAGGTCAGCGGCTGGAGGGTGGACAGGTGCCCTTCGCCAGGAGGCCACCCAGCTGCAGGGCAGTGCCTGCCCGCCCCTGGGCCCAGCACAGGGAGGCCGGAGCTGGCATTCGGGACCCTGGAGACAGCACTGGCAGGGAGCCTCCTCTTGCTTCTGATGGGGTCCTCCAGGCTGGGGGGGTCAGCAAGGTCCCCCGGGGAAGCACCCCAGCGATTCTCTGCCTCTTCGGACAGCGCCCTCCTCTGTCATTACTCACCCTCGGGGGCCCCAGGCCAGTCCCAAGGGCAGGCAGCGCTGCTGTCCCGGCCGCCAGGCCCCTGATCCTCTGCCTCTTCCCCACTAACATCCCACACCTTCAAGTACAGATTAAACCGGATGTAACCGGAGTCCTGCAGTCTCTCTCCTTAGATACTTCACTCTTCGCCGCACCCAGCCCCTCAGAGGTCCTGGTGGACGGGGCCTTCGGTGACCCCTCTGCACCCCTGTTCAGAGAGCCCCAGCCCGTCCTGTGGGCGCGGATTCCGCGGTTGGGATGGGAGCACCCGCTGGAATGCCAGGGATTGGCTCTCCAGGGGGCTTCCACCCACCTCGGCCTTCTGCCCTCTCCTGGGGCGGCTGTGCCCTTTCTGGCTTCTTGCTCCAACCAAGCTCTGCAGGGTTGAGAGGTGGTCTCCGGGTCTGGCCAGTGTTTTCAGGTTGGCGGTGTGCATGTGCCTGTGTGTGTGCACGCGCGTGTGCATGTGCGTGTGTGTGCCTGTGTGTGTGCATGTGCCTGTGCTGTGTGTGCCTATGCGTGCATGTGCCTGTGTGTGTGTCCGTGCGTGCCTGTGTGCGTGCCTGTGTGTGCGTGTGTGCGTGTGCCTGTGTGTGTGTGCGTGCCTGTGTGCGCGTGTGCGTGTGCCTGTGTGTGTGTGTGCATGTGCGAGCCTTCCCTCTCCAAGCATCACATGCCCCTGCCCAGGCATGGAGACCCCATCACCCACTCATCAGTGTGCCTGTCGTGGGGCAGCCCAGGGTTGCCCTCTGTGATGATGGCAGGAGAGACAATGGCCCCCGCCCCTCCCTCCAGCCCTGGCTGTGTGAGCCGATTGGGAAGGGGGGCTGAGGGGGTGGGTCCAAGGCCCTGGGGACAGAGGGCCATGCCTGGCCAGGCCAGACTTGGTCCGGGGCCCTGTGTCAGGTGGGTGTTGCCCAACCCCTTAAATCTGGCCCGGGGAGCCCTGTGGGACCGTGGCTGTGTGCCCTGCGGTTTCTGCGTCCACTCTGCCTAGTGGTCAGCAGGCAGTGGGCATCAGAACTCCTGTGACCTCCGCAGCTGCCCTGTTCTGAGGCTGGTGGGTGTGAGCAGCAGGGGCCCAGGGCCCCAAGCAGCCAGGGGGACCCTACCCCAGCCGGGCCTGTGCCTTAGGCCCGATCTGCCCCTGAGGGTCAGAATCCCCCCCGTGCAAGCTCGAGTCCCCCATGCTGATCCTCCCAGGTGCTCATGGGTCCAAGACCACGGGCCACCGAGAGCCCCCTTCCGCACGGAGCCCCTGCCCGCCAGCTGGGCCTTGGGGAAGGGCGTGGTCACCCACTCGAGACAAGCTGAGTGGTGAGCTCCTTCCCCCGAAACAAGCCTGCGACCCCCAGGGAGGGCAGAGGCTGAAGACACGGCCACACCCCCCGGAAGGGGCCCGGGTTCCCCTCGTCGAGGCTGGATGCTGAGGCCCAAGGAGGGAGCCCCACTCCCATCTCCCTGCCAAAGGCGGCCTCTCCTGGGCCCTTATCTCGGAAGCACTGCCCTTTCTGTGCATCGTCCCAGGCGGTTCTTACAGGTCTCTGAGTCGGGGCCACAGCTGGGAGCAATCTGGAGGCAACAGCTTTGTCCCGGTTCCTCCCCTCCCCTGACACGCAGGCCCGGACCCCTCTGTCCCCCGGGGCCCACGCCTGCCAGGACTGACACCCTCCACGCACGTCAGGCAGCTATGAGCGTCCCGCACGTCCGTGGAGGCTGTGACGCACACGGCAGGCAGGCGTCTGCAGGGCCCGCGTGGGCCGAGCTGCGAGGGCCCTGCCACTGGGACGGGACCCCAAGGGGAGGCTCCTTTGGCGCATGGGGCACCCGCATGAGTGCTGTTCGCACAGCTGTGCCCATTCTGCGGACGTCCCCAGTTGGATGAGCGATCCGGGCGCTCACAGGGGCTGCACGTCCGTTCGTCCTCCGTGGGGCCTTCCCCGCTGCCCAGGGCTCGCGTGTGGCTGGGGAATGGCTCTCCAGCTTGTGAACTCTTTTAAAAAATTTAAACAAAACCAAAAACAGAGTAGAGTAGAAACCTGCTGCCTCCTGCACGCCCCCTACTGGGGATCAAGCCCAACAAACCCAGGCATGTGCTCTTGACGGAAATTGAACCTGGGACCCTTCAGTCCGCAGGAGAGCGCTCTAACCATTGAGTCACTGGCAGGGCCAGCTCGTCAGCTCTTGGACAAAAGCCGTCTGTGAGGAGACCAGAAAGCATTTGGGGTCTGGAGCCCCCGGCCTCGGCCAGTGAAGTGTCCACCAGTGGGAGGTGCAGCCAGCACAGGACTCCCTCCAGCGGGAGCCATTTCCACGGCGACAGCCCCAGGCCAGTTGCGAGTCCGCAGCCTCCTGCTGGGGAGAGGGGACAGTTCAGGAAAACCAAGTGCACAGTGGTGTCCCCGCTGCTTTTTTCTCTGGGATGAAAAAGTGTGTCCCAACATCCATGAAAACAAACAAGACGCCAGTGGAAGTCGTACCTGCTCCTAGAAGTGAGGGTGCTGAGGTGGGGGCTCGGGGAGACGCTGTCCCGGGCAGGGGGGCTCCTGACCCCATTCTCTGGAAGGGCTGAGATCGTCTGGGCAGGGCTAGGGTTCCCCGGGGCGACCCCGTCCACTGTGTTCTCATTAAAACACCTGCCGCTGCCCTCCCCAGTGGGGCTCAGTGGTTGGCATCGACCTATGAACCAGGAGGCCACCGTTCAATTCCTGGTCAGGGCCCATGTGTGGGGGGCGTGCAGGAGGCAGCCTATCAATGGTTCTCTCTCATCGTTGATGTTTCTATTCTCTCTCTCCCTCTCCCTTCCTCTCTGAAGTCAATAAAAATATATTTGAAAAACAAAGCAAAACACAGGGACTCCTGGGAGTTCCTTCTAATGTTCCCGTAAATAGAAGCATAAATAGAATCAGGCAAGTTTTTGCCTTTATAACTGCTCTGTGGCCTTACAGCTTTAACAAACCCAATGAAAACTCCCTCTGTTCCACATCCATCCTTTATGTCTAGAGATAAAACCTATTCATTTCCTTTAAAAGAATATTTTTATTGATTTTAGAGAAGAAGGGGGGGGGTGAGAGAGGAGAGGAGAGAGAGAGAGAGAGAGAGAGAGAGAGAGAGAGAGAGAGAGAGAGAGAAACATCAAAGATGAGAATCATGGATCGGCTGCCTCCTGCACGCCCCCCACTGGGAATCGAGCCCATAACCCAGGCCTGTGCCCTGACAGGGAATCTAACTGTGGCCTCCTGGCTCACAGGTCAGCGCCCAACCACTGAGCCACGCTGGCGGGCAAATCTATTCCCTTTCAAGGTAGAGTTTACATGTCCATCCTCCTAAATCCACGTTTGAGGAATCATCTCTCAACTGATTTTGGGTTGAGGCCCTCCATCGGTGCACGGAACCAGATCTAAGGTTGGCGTTCCTCACCTGGTCAAGCCCTGCTCATCTCCTCAGGCCAGTTAGACGTGGGCTCCTCCGCAGTTCTGTGTCAGTAAAGCAGGGTGCGGCCCCGGCTGGTGCGGCTCAGGTGGTTGAGCATCGTGTTGTGCACCGAAAGGCCGCCGGTTCCGTTCCAGGTCAGGGCACATGCCCGGGTTGGGGTTCGTTCCCCAGTACGGGAGGCAGCAGACTGATATCTCTCCCTCCCTCCTTTCCTCTTCCTCGCTTTCTAAAATCAATAAAAACACATTTAAAAATATATTTTTATTGATTTCAGAGAGAAAGGGAGAGATAGAAATCCATGATGAGAGAGAATCATTAATCGGCTGCTTCCTGCACACCCCATACTGGGGATC